CAGTGCATTCGAAATCAAAGTAGGTGCAATACTCAATGAAAGTAAAATTCCAATGTTATTGAATCAAAATAACTGTTATGTTTAATCAGAATTATCTCTCTGTTTGTGATAATGAAAATTCGGGTTTATGTAATTTTTTTGTGCAACGCGGATCGAAAATTAAGTTGCGAGAGTTGTATCGGTATCAATACTCGTTTCAAATTCGCGGGCTGCAAGTTACGTCACCCTTGCAACGAATTGTCCCTAGACGCGTCTTTCAGTCATGTAAGCTCGAACAGCGCATGGGCTATTGACGACACGCACTCTCGCGCCGACTGTCGAAACTGATGGCGGACGAAACGGGGTATCGAATTTTCGGAAATAATAAGCTACATGCAACAATGCTTCGATCCCGTTGTACATACATACGTGCATGCGTATTGCGTGATTACGAATACTCTTTCATGGTATATGTGCAATGTAAAATATGGCCGCTTTATCATGGAGACAAAGGTTTGTTATCGGATTGTGTAATAATTAATGCGATATGAATTGTATGTTAAAAAAAGATTTCATTGGGAATTAATAATCAAAAGATAAAAAAAAAGCATTACTGCTTTGGACATTGAAGTCCAAACAATTTGTCTCTTTGAAATATCGACAAGGGCGTGCATATTCTGAAATAAAAATATTTCGAATGCTTATGAGAATACAGATATTTTGTTCGAAAATTTGCAAAAAAGTAAGCGTCATTCAAGAAATTATTAGCAATGAGCATTAATATTGAGCATTCCATCGTTTGATTTACTTTGAATTATCATAATCTTATTCAAAAAAAACATGATTTGAATACGCATATTTAAATATTTGTGCATTATAACCGTTAATTAAGAGTCATTTCTCATCAGTTAATTTAATTGTTGTAAATCTGTTCTGTTTATCTTTTAATCTTGTGTTTAACTTCTCGAACGTCATGAATCAGACACGGAATTGCAATGTTTAAACGTACTTTAAACCACGATGTACAAAGTATCTAGGTACGACACGTGCGAGACGAAAGTGCCTGACTTCAGACGGGAAGAACATAGACGTTGTAAAGTCGTACGGTTGGTCGCGTGCGCATCCTGTAAGGCGCTCGTGGATCCTCGTATAGGCCGTACAATTTTATCCTATATTTAACGCGTGCTTTCGACCCGACCTGGCGTGACGCGTGTGGCCTGGCATCTCTGCGGCTCGTTCGTTCGTCCGCGTGCGTCTCTCGATCCGTTTGTCCCGTGACTCGTTTCGCGTCACACTCGGTCCTGCCTGCGAGAATACGAGAAGTACGCGCGGGAGTGCGGCGCTTACGGAAAATGTCAGTGACGTGACTGCACGCGGCAGCATCGACACACGCATCTCTCTGCATTTTTTTCGAGCAAGAATGTGCGCCAGGCATCGACGCACGGTAAGCAAACAGATCGTCCGCGCGTCCTGTCCTCGGCGATGCAATGCCGTCCTTTTTAACCTAATTCCTTGCCCGTGAGCTCGGCTGAGGTTACTGCGGGAATATGTGATCGATACATTAAAGGAGCACTCGAGCGGCCCCGAGCTCGATCACACGAAAACATCTCGCTGTCCGTTCGCGCATCCGCGAGTATAGTCCACTCGCGGTTCGATGCACGCGTCGCCGATCCGCGACGTCAACAGCTGATCTAATCCTTTGACCGCCACCCGAATCGCTCGCGGACTCTATCGTGCACCCGTCTGCGATACACCAAGGGAGGGGAGGCAGACAGGTGTACTCGGGATAGCATTTAGTGTAATCACGCGCACCTTGTACTTTGCACCGGGTATCTTTTCAAGATATCAGGTTTTTATAACCTATAAGATGATCTACCCAGCCTGTTACAGACGTCGTTTCGCGCTTCACCTCTTTTCTACTATGCACTTTGCTTTATGTTTTTCTTTTTTTTTTTTGCAACGTTTCCACGTTATACACATTGTTCGATTACACTGTGTAATTTATGACACGATTTATGTAACGCGGATACAGTCACTATGAGAATTCTCACTTACGCATTGTTACACTGATTACTTCTCATACAAAATTTGCATAGTGCTTAAGCAAACTAGATTCTTTTGTCATGTAGAATTTGATGCATAGGATGACAGATGATAAATAGCGAACAACATGATTAATGGCAAAGGACAAATATACATGTAACCATCACGGAAACCTGTCAAACTTCCTTTCATCACAAGATCTCCATGTAGAACTTCCATCTTTATATCAATCTTTATGATGATTCCCTTAATAGTACACATGTAAGCAGATAATGTGAAATCAATAATTATAGAAAAATAGTTTCACTATGAATTAGGAGAAAGAAACTAATATTGTTTTATGATTTCAGTGTCTACACGACTTCTTCCACTGGTGATTGTGGTGGTTTCCCATAGTGGAAACCGAAAACCTTATACTACGTTACGGTGAGTGCTTCGAAACAAACTTATTTCTTAGAAAGTATCTGTATGTTTCATCAGATCTTACAGATATATCAAATTTTAATATCTAGAAATTTTCTGTGTGTGACACAAGTATTTGTACACAAAATTGCGTGGAAAAGTGGTTAAATGCAAAAACTATTCTTCTTAAGATCTTCAATTTTAAAAAAAGTAAGTTTTCGTGCTTTTAAAAATATAAATTCTGATTTTTTTTGATGAAGAAAATCCATTTGATTTAATCTTTATCTGAGAGTGAGTACTGTTAAGGGCGTGTGAATCACATGACAAGGAATGATAGACTCATACCTTTCTGCGACTCCGTCTATTATTCTAAAGCTTCGCGAATGTCGCGGCCATCCAACGGAAGCACCATAGAGCACTGGAAAGACTACATAACTATTGTATCATATCAACCGAGCATTACCTTAATCTTGGTAGGAGTCGGACGGACGGACGGACTTAGCAATGTACAGTCTGTGTAGAAAATGCTTCGATACGATCCAGATGAATGTCGGCTTTGTCACCGCGGTATCCACTTCTTCAGGATTGCTCTGCGATTGAGTCAGTTCACTTTCCGTCTCGTGGCTTCGACATGCCCGCAGCTACTCACTCTAAACAACACATAGTGTTTTACTTTAATAAAAAAAATATATATATAAAAGATCTTGCATATATTATAATACTAACAAATACATACTTATCGTACGTGTAGCGAGTACGCAAATAACGAGTGAATTTAAATTTATTTTACGTACATTATATGAGAATTGTATTTTTCCATTTTTCATATATTGAATTTTGTGCAAATAAGAATAATTTTTTTAAAAAGACGAAAAACGTAAAAACAGAATGTTGATTGACAAGTGTGTAAAAGGAATAATAATTTTTTTATCTCTTACCATGTGCATATGTTGCATCATGTTCCTTGTACGTCACGCATATGAAAAAACTATTTTTACATGTACAGCGTATGATCAAACGAGATTTGCTCGTAAAAAGATTTACTCTAGAACCACGCCTTTCGTATAACTTCCATAAAGTAGGCATCAACGATTGGATACATCTTTCTAGATGAAAAATGTATGCAAATTGTATCAATGTGAAGCATACATAATTAAGAATGTACATACAAAGTCGTTTGACTAGCAATTACGTGATTAGTTGTAAGAATTCTGCAAAAAAGAAATGAGTGTGCAATTTAATGTACTGTGTAGTAAATGATGGGTGAGAAAAAGAGCTTACAAAACTGGTATCAACCGATACAAAATTATTTAAAATTACTTGTTATTAATACTTAAAAAGCGAGATTTAAATCTAAAAAAAACAGATTGATCCTTAAAATTAACCCTTAAAGCCTTTTTAGACGTAATCCGATATTGCACAGATGAGATATTTCGAAAGAATTCTAATGACGTAATCTCAACTTAACTTTGCGAGGATATTTTTGAACGAAGATTTCATTATGCGGCGTTTCATTTCGTCACTTAGGCAGGAAGATGTATAATTTTTTACGATTAAAATTTTCTTTCTCTTTTCCTTCGCCTTCCCTTCTCTCTCGCTTTGTACAAAAAGCGTTTTTAAATCAGATTGTACCGTTTGTTATCGACCAATATCCGAAGATAAGGCAAACTCGTGTTACTTTTACATATCGGCACATCGCGCATCTCGCAGAACTTATCGAGTTATCCGGGCGAAGGATCGAATTTACGACGTCCCGTAGCGCATTTTCGCGCTTTATCGCGTTTGTACGCACTTCTTTCGCACATTCGCGAGTTGCAGTTTCGACAGTTATGAACTTATCTTCGCGGATTCACGCCTGCTCGATTCACGTTGATTGCGACGTTGCAAACTTTTTTCATGTTTAAATTACGTCAGTTGCACGATTGGAGACATATGCATCGACCAGTGATCTTATCGCTAGAGATTGACAGAGAAAACGTTTTTTTTTTTCCTTTTTCTTTATTTGCCGGAAGCGATAAGAATTTTTTTGCATTATTGACGTTGTGAATCGCGCGCTGTTGCGATGCTGCTGCGAGGAATCGCGTTCGCGGAGGCGCGTCGCAATTCCGCGCGGCGCGTTTTTAAGGGTCGCGACAAGACGCAGGGCAACGGATGCGAGAAGGACATCGCGCCGGATTTTCTCCACGATGGATCCTTGGCGCGACATACGCGCACGGCGATGATGGTTTATAGGCCTCCGGAGGAGCCACTGTTCCCCGTTTTTATCCCTTTCGTAAGTTGCGAGAAGCTTTGAAAGTAAAAGTCGAGGCGATGCGCAAGCGATAAATTTTAGCGCGAATATAGCGCATAAATAAAAAGGCAATATGCATAATTATTGACTGGCGCTATCGCTGGCGGATTACGTCAGCGAGTAGCAAATTGCATCACTTTGCAAAGATTTTGCAAAACTGTGAAATTATTACGTTTTTGAATTGCTTCGTGTTGAGTTGCGAACGAAAATCGTAGTTACTTTATCATTGTTATAATGAAATTCCTATTTAAAATTATGTGTCACAATTGATAAGCAATAAATAGAGGGATTTCTCTTGATTGCACAAGCGACTATCCGTCTCAGGAGATTTCCTCAATTCGCAAGACGTATTTGAGTTTGGTTATCCGACATTGATTGCGTTGAACTCGCTCACACGAAATGTAGTGCGCGATCAATGTTTATATAATCGATCCGTATAAGTTTGCGATAGACAATACACCGTTTCTTCGCGAAGAAAGAAATCTTTAAATACTTTGTTTGCCATTAACGAACTTACCGTTATTAAACTTTGTATTTTTAGTCTTGGCTCTATCTCTCGAAAGGGTATTGACGCGCTTAAAATAGCTCACTGTTGGATGGATTAATTTTTTGTTGGACTTTGTACTGATTTTTCATTTTTCTGATTCCTTTTATCTTAGCTTTTTCGTTAGAATTCTCGGAGATTCTTTTCATTTCTATTTATATTCATTAACTCACGTTTTATTCAAGTTTTATCAATTAAAACATGATTCATTAAATTGATTGCTGGAAGTTAATCGATGTATTTTTTTCATAAATTTTTATTTAATTTCAAAGTTTTTAGTTATAATTTTTTTTTCGCGCATTTTCTGTGTCTTATTTTCACGTGTTATGATATTGCTATACGCTAATTTTCTATGAAATTATTAGCGTCGCTGGAGATCGATTATCTTATGACATTTTCATATTCGGTCTTCCTCGCGTAGAGCATAGCTTGTAACCTTGCATTGTCTCGCGGAGCTACAATCGAAATTGATAAAAAAATAGAATTGACGGCGAAATACTAACGAGCCTTGACTGATTATGGGACGCGTCGTAGGAATATGCAAAACGCGTTTCGGATCATTTCCGGTCGCACAACTACTCCTTTTCAATTATGTTGAGGTCGGTTTATAAATATCTTCCGCAAATTTACGTAATACTCGTTACCTTTCTTCTGTATATTGATCGCGCTCCGCATGAAATCAAAGTGGAATTTGATGCGGAAAATATTGAAGTGTACAGATGTTCCAACTTTTAAACGACAACCGTATAGCAACGCTGATACTTTACATACGTATTGGTGACTATAGTTGTAGCGATTGCGATCGAAATGACGTGTATCTGTACGGTTTTTATCGCCTTATCGCTCACATTGATATGATATCTGTGACAATTACGAGGAAAATTGCGAAGGAAATCGGCGATTAGAATCAGCAATGTTAGGATTTTTACTTACGCGAAATAAATATATTCTTTACGCGATCGATTTTTGCAGGTTTCAACAGTATTATACAGTTTTAGATCTTGGAGATAAATATTTAAAGAGCGTTGCAACGGAAAAAGACTTGATTCTTATATTCGAAATCTATATCGATCTTTCAGACATCCGCGTTGATAAAGTGCGAACCGGTCGTTAAGAGGCGTGACTGCGATTTTAGCAGACAGCGCTTTTGCAAAAAACAGTCAAAATGACTGTCCCGTCTTTCTCTCCCGAGTCAGTGTCCTGAAATAAACTCGGTAGTACCGGAAGACGAACAAAATGAATGCGTCCGCCGGAGCGTTGCCGATCTAAATAAGCGCGACGGCTTAAAACACCGGCCTCCCCTTCACACGTGTATTTGGAGTCCCGGGAATCGCGAAATCTCTCTTTCAAAGACATTTCGCGTTTGTTCTAGCGATGACACGCACGTGGAGGAATGCACTTTGTTCCGTATTCTCCGAAGATCTACAATGTACATCTCCATTAGAAACAGTCTGCATTAAAAAGCACGCATTAACAAGATTACATTTGCGAAGTAATTTGAAGTGAAGATATTTTCTTGAAAAATTCACGTTTCAAACTTCATTAAAATATTGATATTTTTCTTGGAAAGTTGCTCGGCACAATTCTTGAAAATCAGATAAAAAAATAAACGTAAAGGCAGGTTAGGTTTCGCGGAATTAATTCGCATTAATTCCAATCCGAAAGCTGAAATTAAAATCACATTTCAGGAAAGCGAGGCGAAATCGTTCGTCGCCACAGCGTCCAAGCTGGCCACCGTGGAAGATGTGGGTCCAAAGCGGCCCGAAGGCCCCATCCGACCATCCACCGCCTCCCTAAAAGTCTCACCCACGGCCAGGGCGACTCTCCAGGCCTTAAGGTCGTCCAAGAGCAAGCTAGCCAGCCCTGTTAGTACACGCGACGCTGAAACCATCACCGGTAAGACACTCATTTTTATGCACATACCAGCTGTTACACGAGCGACGCCACAGATGTCTCAGCACATTGATTTTTTTTTCCTCGCTGGATGTCCTTATTAATTAAATTAGTTTCATAATCGCAAATCACAACTCTAATAACAAAATCGTCACCACACGAAAATAGTATTCAAGTATAATTGAACTCATGTCGGAATACGGCCATAATTTTGATCGAACAAATAGGGGGGTGGGGGGAAGAAAAAGAAAGATGTTAATTACAAGGGAATTTTTTTCGGTTTCTCGAAGAACAGCGCAATAATTTCGCGGGTTGAAGGATAGGCAAGGCAGAACGCGCACGAATTTACTACATCTGACGTTGTAAGCGTACGAGGAGAAACTGTCTTTGACGGTGCTAGCAGGAGGAGTTTTATAAAGTGCTCTACGGGCTTACCTGTTCCGAGACTCATGGTGTTTCCCATTGGCCCGAGCCAAATGATGATTACTTCTGCCCGGCGGATAATACGCCACGCTCCATTCTCATCATCATGATCGTCATCATCATTATCGTTATCGTTCTAGCCATCATCATCATCATCATTTTTATCATCATCATCATAATCATCATCATGGCTGGAAATGATCGTTGTCGTGGCAATTATTTTTATTGTTATTGCGGACATCTGCAAGTGACTTTGATCTTTGATACGCTTCTAATGCACTCCATATCGATCGCGATACGTTTCACGAAGTTTCTCGGAATAACTTTCTAAAATCGCTATCGTTTTCCGAGACGCGAGATGTCCACTTCGCAAAATCGGGAGCGCGATTACTCAGAATCTCTCGAAATAGGCGACCTACAAAGGGCCTAGTTTTGCAACGTTTTGAAATCTAAGCCAGAGTGTCATCGTGGAAACTTTCGTCAAAATCGTAGCATATTCAGTAGCGAATTCAGTTGATATTTGTCGGCTAATTAATTCCTAAGCAGCCAAGCTAAATACACAGCTTTTCTGTCGACGATACAGTTATCATTCGAGCGGCGAAAAAACTCGCGCGTAAAATATATGCAATTAACAGTTCATTTCTTTAGGCAAACATCGGTTTATTCTCGTCTATTATGTAATGCAGACGTATACAGAGTTTTTTTGGATTGGTTGACTTCGCGCTGTTTGCCAACAACCTTGCCACTGCTACGTCAATGAAGATTTAAACTGATCGATCGCAAACTCGCTCGTTTACTTTGCAGGAAAACTGATATATCGTTTCTACATTTTAATAACTATGACCCACATTTTTTTCTTCCGGCAAATTGTTACTTTCGACTTAATATTTAAATATCGGGAGAATCATAAAATGGTTAATCTTAGCGTGTAATGTATATACATATATATATACATATATGTAAATGACCTTATTAAAAGATCCGCAAGCGAAAGGTGATGTCATTTATAAAAACGGACACTTAAAATTTAATCAGAAGTCAATTATGCAAAGAGCTGAAAGATTTAGCTTTTTAAATCCGATTTGTTTGATAAATGACTCGATCGCGGGAATTGAAATTGGCCAGGCTCCAACTATACTGGCCGCTGCTATTTTCCTCCATCGCATTCGTCCGTTCGACGGAGTTCTTCGGCGGCTCGCGACTCAAAAAGAACGTTTTCCCCGTGTTCGCGAGCGAATTGCCGTCGATGATAGATCGCAGAGAGTTTTGCTTGTCGTGCAATTACTGGAAATAAAAATTGCCGGCCGCCGGCGTCGTTCGGCGTGAATTAGTGAATGTAACGCACCGCGTCGCGACCGTACTGTCGATTACGCCATCAATTTCGTTGTAATTCTTCTCGCCTCTCTTCGCAACGATAAAGTGCACGCGGACGGGTTACATAATTTAATTATTCGCAGCTGTCGGAACGAAAGAATTCACAGATGGAACCATTATCGATGACTTATTGCAAGCGCACTCGATGGATTGTTGAGTCATATGTTTCTTGACATTGATGATTAATTGAAACATAGCCAAGCTTTTCTATTTGTCATTTACATAAAAAAAGAAACGTTGACGCTATTGTTAGCATCTATTGTAATTCGCAAAAATTTGCTGCTTAATTTTGCGAATTATTTTACACGAGATTTACATTTCCATCCAGATTTCATTTCCATCAAGCAGAATCAAATTTATACATTTATAAATTTATACATTTTGCGAGGCAGAGCGCGCTATTGTATTCGGTTTCAATCGTTAAGCAATTCAGAAGCGTCTCGGGGTCATTGTCTCGACAAGTAATTACGCAAGACTTTTGGCATATCGCTTTTAAATCTGGCCGGGCGATAGGCTCGTAAAAGTCGTGAAACGCCTAATTGTCGATGGATTGCGGCCAGTTTGGTTTTATGTAATTTGTGGGATCAAATGTCTTGAATTTTGTGGACGACGGATTTAGATCTGCTGACAGTGTCGAAGGTAGTGCCTTAATGAGGGAAATAGAAGAACGGAGAGTTCGGCCGATGCCGGGCGCGATATTATGTACCTAAGCGTAAGGGATGCGAGAAGGCCCAAGGGCCCGGCGAAACTCAAAGAGATTCTCGAAAGACGCGAGGCTGTGCTTAGCAAGTGGCGAGATGGTAGGACATTTATCTGTAGTATTTTTATTCGAATTTTGTGCGTAAATTATTGACTTTTTCCGTATTAAGTGAACATCTGTTCCGCGCAAAAGCCGTTCAATATTGACAAAGTTGATTAAAAAAAGATCAATAGTAAAAGGATTAATATTATCTAAAGCATTCTGATATGTTTTATTGCTGAAATTATTCGTTATATTAATTATTAATTAATTTTTTTTTACTTGAATGATAAAGCGTTATTAACTATCTCATTTGTGATTGTGAATTATTAATATGTAAAATAATTTATTGCATTGGGATCATTATTATTTAAATAAATTTAAATAAGTTGTTAATTGATGATGAAATTATTCATGTGCGAAAGATATTTGATTTTATGTATTTATATTTTGTAGCGCACCGCAAATTAAATTTGTTTGGAATAGCTAATAATTAAACATTGTCGAAAATTTATATTTTATCTTTTCAGAAAATAATCGTCGGTATTTTATGAATGCGATCTGCAGTTGGTAACGATATTGAAAATATTGTTATCAACTTAACAGGTATTATCTTCTGCAGTTATCGTGTCGCTGACTTACCTTCATGTTTGCGATTGCCAATATGTGGCAGCACGTGCTTCGCGATCAGGCTATTTTTATCACGTGACAAAAGTTTTCCCACGTGGCAAAAAAGCCGAAGGACTAACTTGTATGAAATATCCCCTTGTGAATATTCGTTCAGTCAGTTTAGAGAAGAATTATGAGAGGTATAATTCATATTATTTGCATGTTTTCTGTCTTTTAAAACAGCGAACAAAAGTGGCGTAAAACGTTTGTGCAAAAATAATTATCCGAAAGCACACCACTTGTACAGAAATATTATTCAAAGCAAAATAGCGGCCACCGAAATTCCGTCGTATAATTAATGCTTTTAAATCACGGCCAGAACCTTAATTTTCGCACAAACGTTTCACGTGAAATTCGCGTCTACAATTTTACCGGAAAAATATGTATATTAATATGCAAACGCTTTTAATTTAACTTGGTCAACTTATTTTTCATGTATTCAAACAGAATGTAATCAACAGGCGATTAATTATACACTGGAATGCCGTATCTGCTCATATAAATCGCATGATTGTTATCTATCATTTGAGTCATGAGCGTAGAAAGCATCTTATCTGCGCATCTTTGAAAAATATAGCCTTTGTTCGACGTGCCGTAATCTTCCTAATTCTCGAACATGCATAATTCTGCCAAGTACAAGTCCTACGATCCGGTTTCCATGATTCAATTCGAGCGATGACGCTGGGAACCGGCTGCGAGCGTAACTGTTTCTTTTTTATTAATGAAATCTGGGAAATTTTTGTGAAAAGCTCGCACTCGCAGCGGCGCCGTGCAATCGGCATCTTCACAATGCGGCTAATCGGGGCGGCATCGCGATTATGTGCTAAACCGCGATAACTTTATGCAGCTCGCATATAAATGATTCCTCCGCCGCGGGTCATCTCTATCTCACGAGACCAGAAGCGCACCGAAAGTACAAAGTTCACATGATGTGGCTCGCGACGATTCCCGGTGCGGGCAGCATCAGCAGTCGCAACATTGTGACGGTGCTATGTAGATTTGCGCCGCGCGTTTTCTGCGCGTGAGAAAAGAAAACGTCGTAATTTTTCTCAATTGATTATACATTTTGCTACTGTTAGATTGCCGCAATCTCACAAGAATTGCATATAATGTCAGGTTAGTAGTGCTAACTTCAGATTGCAAACGCAAGAGCTACTCCGCGTTACGGCGCAATACTCGGTGTTTCGTCTCGGCGACAAATTTTAACGATGGATGCTGCGGAGTTTGTCTCAAAAAAATTTTGGAACAACCACTTATTACAGAAAGTTTCATTATTTTCCTTTAATTAAACAAGTTTTATTGATCAAAAGCGTAAGTCGGTAAGCAAATTCCAGCCGAATAAACTTTATGTAATCCTTCATTTGAGAAATGTCATTCTTGAAGATGTAGAAAATGAAGAACTCCATTGAATAGCTCAGACGTAATTGAATTTTCATTAAGACGGCGTCCACTTTGGAATCTTAAAATTTGTTTTAGAAATGTAGAAGGCTGAAACAGATATATCGCGATACAGTCACCTCCGAGGTGCATCTACATGCGCTTCGCGCGGAATGCGTCGTTATGGTATGCACTCGTCGTCCGCATCGTTGCAGAAGGGCTTCTCTCGTTTGCGGTGATTCCCTCCTACCGCTGCTGTACCGCAAGCAAGTTTTTGTCGCACGGGTCACGCATGCT